TGGGCTAGCTGAATCTTGTCATATCTCAAAAGCTAAGCAGGATTAGCCCTGGTTAGTTCTTGGATGGGAGACCACCAAGGAAGTCCAGGGTTGCTACGCAGAGGCAACGCAAACCTCCTCTGGTACCCTCTTGCCCTGACCTGGATGGCCCAGGCTAGCCTAATTTCATCAGATCTCAGAAGCTAAGCAGGGTCAGCCCTGGTTAGTACTTGGATGGCTGATCCAACCTCCCCCTTCTTTTCTGCAGTCAAGTCACAGCTGACTTATGGCCCTCCCCACCCTACCACACCCCCTTTCCCCCATTACCTTCTTCCCTCCCTTAATAATCTTTTATTTATGTAATATAACAACAATTTACAGTAGCAGATAATATTCGGAAACCACAACAACAACAACATTGTCACAAACAGAAAAAGCACAAGAGCAATAACACCAAACCAGCTATTCAATATATAGCGATAACCTTCAAATTATCAGGAAGTGCCTTTTTAAGCTTACTGTGGCTTCCCATATATCCAAGAAAAGGGAACGAACGTTCCAAATAATCTGAACAAAAGTCCGGATTCTCCATCAAGGAAATCACCTCTGATATTTTGTCCATTCTTGTAACTTCCTGAACCGCATATTCGATGAGGGATATTTAATGTCGGCAGAAAAGTGACCGAGAAAGGTATTTCCACTGTGTTCATGGGGAAAGGGGGATAATGTCACATCATCCACACCACTTGCATGAAGGAGTATAGCTAGGTTTCAGTCCAGTAGCTCTTCAGAAACCAACAAGATTAAGCATTTGAGGGCCAAAGCGCCCTTCATCAGATAGCTTTGAATCTCCAAAGCTGATACCCTGAAAATCATGTTGGGGTCTCAGGCATTTCTAGACTTGAATCTAGGTCTACTACTGCAGACCAAGAGAGAGAAGAGAGATTGGATTTCTACCTCGCCCTTCACTACCCGAAGGAGTCTCAGAGCAGCTTACAATCTCCTTTCCCTTCCCCTCCCCACAACAGGCACCCCGTGAAGTAGGTGGGGCTGAGAGAGCTCTCTCAAGAACTGCCCTTGAGAGAACAGCTCTGAGAGAACTTGTGATTGTCCCAAAGTCATACCAGCAGCTGCATGTGGAGGAGTGGGGAATCAAAAACCGGTTCTCCCAGATTAGAGTCCGTGCTGGCTTGTATGGCTGCCCTCCGAAGCGATAAAGAAGATAAAGTTATATTTGCCAACTCTGGAGACCTTTTTTCATCCCCTGGGTTAACAAATGCGTCGTGTCATGGTCAGAGTGTCGTACTAGGACTCAGGGAGGTCTGAACACCCCCTCTGCCACAGAAACTCTCTGGGAGAC